AGCACTGGCTGTTCTTACGGAGGACCTGGCTTTGAAACCCCGCATCCGCACAGTGCCTCACACCTATCTGCAACTCAAGTCTCAAGGGATCTTAGCCTTCTTCTGGCTGCCTCAGGTACCAGGCATGCATAGATGTGCAAGCAAAACGCCCATACACATAACACCCCCCCCCAATTATATAAAAACAAGAAATTACTCATCGTAGGGGCTGCGTGAGCATGTCCTCAGAATGCAGAGCTCCTGGTTTTTAAAAGAAAGTCACTATCTGAACAAGTGGGGATGGGGTGGAAAGGTAAGGGTAGGGTCAGGGCCCTACCTGGATGATCTCCGCAGGGTAGAGTCCATGAAGTACTTCGCAGCTAGGGATTCCAGCTCTCCCCGAGATGGTGCTGAATTCTTACCCTGGGTTAGTTTCGATCTACACTGCGCTCTCTCATTGCTGTTGCAGGGGTGGTGCTTGGCAGTACCGGATTGTTTTGTCTCCCGGCCTTTCCCTGCCTCAGCTTGTCCCCATTGTCCCTCTGAAGGGATCATAGGTTATTGTGTCAATCTTCCAGAGCTTTAGCGATCGGGTCTGCCTGCTGTCAGGGAAAAGGTGTTGACTGTCTTCTTTCCTGTCCCCGGAGTGACACTCTATGTCCTGTGTCTCTCTGTCCCGCTGTGTTAATCCACCTCTTGGCTTCTTCCCTGTTTATTCTGTGATTGGCCAGGGGAGGAGAGGCTGGCAGGCTCCCTCTGCAGAGCCTGGAGACACCAGCCAGGCCTGCCGAGCCCACCCCAGGGCCTCCTGCCTACTACTTTCTGCCAAGTCTGGTCATTTTCTACATGCCTGGCAGAGGTCAGGCCCTCTGTGATGCTCCTGTTGCCGTGGTGATCCTAGATGAGATGGTTGTAATGTTCTGGGCCTGGAACCTTCACCCATCAGCCCAGCTATGTGCTGCCTGCTTCCTGACATGGCTCTCTACCAGGGGGCTGGAGGGCGTGAGCTCTGCTACCTTCAAAGTCTTCTCTGCACAGCCCATATTCTTCAGACCTCCCTTCAACCCCAACAGAGACCCTAACAGGTACGCCTCAGGTCCCAAATAACCCTCCTCCAGGGCAGAGGTCATGGCTGTGGATAGAAATGGCTCAGGTCCCAAAGCCATAAGATGTATGGGCCTGAATCCTAGTCCAAGATTATTGATAGTGACATGACCTTGGCTATAAGGTCTGCCTTGAGTTCCAGTGTCCCTTCAGTGTACTATACTCAACTGTCCCTCCATAACATCTCTGTGAGATGCCATGGGCTGTTCTCGTGCACTTACATCTTCTCACCCCAGTGAGTGCCAACTCCTGCTTCTAACACCAACCCCAGCCCTCACACTCCATCAGCTTCCCTGGGCTCTTAAATGTTGTCATTCTCTTTCTCTGTTGGAGGTTTTAAATCATTTCTCTAGTGGTCACTGAACCCTGACTTTTTAGAGGCAGGAGTCTGAATGGATTCTATTCTGGTATCAGAGAGATTTTATTGAATAACTTCTTGTGGGAGAGTGTTCCTTCCTGCGGACACCCTCCTTGCAAGAGGCATTCTGGGGTCCTGCATCCAGGTATGTCTTGGGGTTTACTGTCTACCTGAGGTCTGCGTGGTTGGCTAGAGACACTTTTGTGTCGGAGATGTGTGACATATCTTATTCTTGAGTGTGCCTAGAGCTGGGTGGGTACAGGAGCAGATGGTTCGCAGTCTCTGGAGACATTGTGGCACATCTGGGCGGGCCAGGGAGCAGCACTGGAGGGATTGCTAGGCTAATGTGGAGGGACATGGGCTTCAAGGAAAAGGAAACAAGGGCTCTAGCACCTCCCAGCTCCTCCAAAGAAATGCAGCCCCTGGCAATGGTCAGTGAGACTATTCCCAAGCCAACCTCTGTCTTCACTGACGCCTGGAGAGCGGGACGAGGCTTCCGTGGCAAGAACCAAGCGAATGGTGACCTCTAGTGGCCAAAGTAAAGGATGCAGCAATGCATCAAGGCAGGCTTTGCAGGTCATTGTTTTGTTTTGTTGTTTCCTAAACTGCTGTGCCAGGAACACATCCACCTTTAATTTAAACATATTTACCGGGCTGTGATTTGTATCCGTGGGAGGAGTGCTTGCCTAACATGCACGTCTTGCGCTGGATCCCCAGCACCTCAGAAACTGGGTATGGTGGCTCACACCTGGATCTCAGCTCTCCCGAAATGGAGGCAGGAGTCCTAGAAGTTCAAGGTCCTCCTGGGCTACGTAGAAAATTCAAACTGTACCTTGAGCTACATGAGAACATGCCTCAATGTAGTCTATGTGGTGTGTAAAGCACCTAGTAGGTGATAATGTCTCTTCTGAATATCAGTATGCGTTGGAAAACAAACAAACAAACAAACAAACAAGGTAACAGCCTACATGAATCTCGGTCCAGGCCTCACATCACAACTGAAGAGTACCTTGGCCAGACAAGTCCGCCCTTGTCCTATGGGAAGAGGCACCACTTTGGAGATCTTCTCCAGGCCCAACTCTCATCCCGCAGTGAGGCAACACTTACTCTCAGTCTTTTCTGAGGCTTACGTCAGTCCTGTCCCCTTCTCTGTTCAACTAAGGATAGGGGACAGGGCGGCAGGGAAGGGCAGCTTCTCCTCCTCCTCCAAGGTTGCCCCTGATCTCAGCAGACTCACAGGATAACACCAGCTTTATTGTTTGCTGTGATTAGAAAAGTAAGTAGTCAAGGTCATGGTGAAACGTTTTGTCCCCCTTTCTGGACAGAGAATTTATACAGGCAAAAATGTGTGTGTGCCAGAATCACCTGCGAGCTCGGCCTCATTAGGGAGTGTGTATGAAGAGGTGGAAGAGGGGGAAGAGGAAGCAGGGAGTAGGAGGGTGGCTTCATTTTAAGGCTCAGGGTCATACTGTAAATTGGGACTTCCGGAAGCGTTGTTCCCAAGACCACCCACATCACAGACTCCTGCAGCACTCGATAAAAATGCAACGTTTCCAAGGACGCAGCATCAGACTCCTGAGAAAGATCCCGAGGAGTGGCGTATTTGGTAACTGTCTTGGCAACTGTTTCAGTCAGTGAAGACTGGGTGCTCCTTGCATTCTGTGCCCTCCACGTAAGACGAGCTTGTGGATAAACTCCCATCTTAGGCTGACGCTCCAAAGAACCTTTAGAAAGGACTGGTGTATTAAGGTCTGCCCAGCCGTTAAGATGCCACCCAGCTGCCCCTGGGGGTGTGGGTATGTACCTTTGCTTCTCTCAGGCTGTCTGGGATTATGCAGTGTAAACGGCACCCTGTTAGTCATCTCCACCAAGCCCAGAAGCTACACCTGGCCTTCCTGGCCCCCTTCTCTTTCTCTACCTCTGAAGTACCTACTAGTAGGCCCTGCCAACCAATCACAGCCACTACAACCTATGATGTCACCAGCAGCCAATCAGAGCTTCTCACCAGTATATGCAGATTGCTGTCACTCTTACTGTGTTAATGAAATTCCAAAGCGACATATCCTTTTCAGGTGGGGATGCTGAGGCCCAGTCAAGGCTAGCACACAGGTCACTAGAAGCCAGTGAGGTGTGGCAGAGGGCGGTGGTTCTTTCTCTGAAGAGGCCCTGAGAGGCCTGGACAAAGACTCCTCCTTCCCTTGAGCCCCTGCTACTTTAGAAGGGGCTCAGTCCTGCTCCCAACCTTCTCTGAAAGACCTCAGGGGTCAGGACACAGTGACGGTGGCACAGGATTCTCTATTTCTAAAGTTTAGAGCCATGGAAGAGGGGGCATGGCCCCCCCTAATTCCAGCCCCGTTCTTAGCTCAACACCCACAGAAAGGAATTGGAGAAACAGTGGCCAGGCTGTGTGCTGCCTGCTGCTCTTGAGCAGATTACCAGGGGGCTGACACCAGGGCTCCTTTGCGGAAGCTCTGGCTTAGAAGGTCGGGTGACAACATATGTAGGTGGGCAGTGCCAGCCTCCAAGTATGGGCAGAGGTATCTGCCTCAGGGTCTCAGAGAGTCCCATCAGCCCAGCGGCCAGAACTCTCATGGGGCTGCCTGAACTGCTGGAACCCTACCTGTGAGTAGGGGCTGTCCCGGGCGGGCAGGGCTGGGGCTCTAAGGGCCTTTAGGGGTAGATGAAAGCGTTTGAGTATGCAGGTGTGACAGGCACACAGCAGCAGCACATGGGAGGGATGCGGACTCCGGATGTCTGTGCAAAGGTCTTGTGACAGGAATGAATTTGGCGTGCGGGCACAGGGACAACATCCAGTTTGTATTGGCATCAGAATGGTGGGACTGGGGCAGTCATCGCTGCTCTAATCAGTTTTTATTGAGTATCTGCTCCAAGAACACACTAAGAGCTGCTAGGGGGAGAAGAGAACAAGCAGTAAGCAGAAGCACCCTGTGTCACATGACTTCAAGTAGAGACGAACACCAGGTAGAAGGATCGAGCAAACTGGGAGAAGACACCACTGGTTGTCGACATTTTTCCTAGGAATTGACCCGGAGTGGAGGCGAACCCTGGGGTTACCTCAGGAAAAGCATCCATCTCCCCAAGGCAGGTGGATGGTCCTAGGGTCGCCATTCTGTAACCATCAGTAGGGCATTCCCACCTGCCAGTGCTGGGCATGGGAATAGGATGGTGAGCACAGCTAGCCTGGGTCCCTGAGCTACTCCAGTGTGGTTGAGAACTCACGCTGCCTGGTTCTGAGGCCCTAAGCTCTGTTTGAACGTTGCTAATACTGCCTTTGCAGCTGCCTTTGTCATCATATATATATATATATATATATATATATATGTATCAAGGGCATTCGGCAATTCACAGACCTGCCCAGTGTCTTCTTGTGTTTGTATCTCGTCCTACTGTGTCCCGGGCTAGAAAAGGAAGGCCCAGTGTAGGACACGACTAAACTCATAAAGTCCCAGACCAGAACCTAGTCTCCTACCCATTCCCATGTCGCTCTCTGCCTGCCCACCAGGACCCAAGGCCACCTACTGCTAGCCAGTGCCACCCCATGACTATCACCTACACAAACAGAGTAGCTGATGCCCACCTCGGCTCCTTCTCCAGCCTCCTCCTGTGCTGGCGAGGCAGCGTCTACAAGCTGATGTATGGAGAATTTCTCATCTTCATGTTCCTCTACTATGCCATCCGTGCAGTCTATAGGTAAGAGGGTCAGGAAGAAGAGGTGGAGCCCGGGGGTAGGGTCTAGAGTCTAGAGCTTATGGGGGGGGGGGGCCTTTAAGCCTTCAGGTGAAGTGCTGGAAGTAGTTGAGGAGTTGAGGCTCAGGCATTCCAGTGAGCTTGTAAGGCTCAGCTGAACTCCTGGCCAGGCCTGGCCACTGGGGTGGAGGCTGGGGAGAAGAAAAAGGAGACCCAGAGCTGAGCATGTAGCTCAGAGAAATAATATTTGCCTGGCATGTGTGGCATCTCGGTCCAGATCCCCAGCACATACACAAGCACACACGCACACACCCACACACGTGCACACGCACATACACACACCCCGAAAATCATACTGGGAAGATACTTTAACTCAGGCCAGAGGTGACTCAGGAACTCTTTCTCTCCAACACAGGAAGGGACCTGAATTCCAGGCCTGAGCTAGTCCTCCAGAGCTGACCCTGTTTTACATAGGCACTCAGGCACCCACAATACAGTTTACCATGTCTGTTTGAATAAAAATGTTTTCAGAAATAATAAAATGTCCATCAGGTATGATCTTAGAATATCTTGTAACATTTTAAGAGAAAATCATGGGCTAATGAGGTGGTTCATGTAATTGGAGGCGCCAGCAGGTGAGCCTGATGATCTGGATTCAATCCCCAGGACCCACAAATTACAGAGGAGCAACAGCTCCCAAAAATTGTCCTCTGACCCCCACACATGTGTCATACATGTATACACACATCCTCTCTCTCACACAATGAAGTAAATGCATATATGTATGTGTATATATATATATATATATATATTTTTTTTTTTTTTTAATTGAGACAAGGTTTCTCTGTGTAGCCTTGCCTGTCCTGGACTCACTTTATAGATCAGGCTGGCCTCGAACTCACAGAGATCCACCTGCTTCTGCCTCACTGAGTGACAGGATTACAGGCATGTACCACCACTATAAATTAAAAAAAAAAAAATTTAAAGCAATCATATTGTGGCTGCAACTCCTGTTCCAAGGGATCTGACACCTTCACACTAATGCACATAAAATAATTATTTTTTAAAAGCAGCCATATCTGCCATGTATTTAAAAATAATCAAATATGGATAATTCTGGAGTTTGTTCTAATGTCAGCACACTAGTATTTGGCACTTTAAAATTAGAAAATAATTGTCTTAATTTTTTTTTTTAGATTTTTAATTATATTTTCCACGTATAAGTGTTTTGCCTACATTCATGTCTGTCTGTGTACCATGTATGTGCCTAGTGCCTGTGGAGGTCAGAAGAGGGTACTTGATCCCCTAGAACTGCAGTTACAGATGGTTGTGATATGCCATGTGGGTGCTGGGAACTCAACTCGGGCCCTCCGTGAGAGCAACAAATACTCTTAACGAGGGAGCTATTTCTCCAGCCCCAATTAATTAATTCTTTGAGATAAGGTCTTGCTATGTAGCCCTGGCTGTCCTAGAACTCCCTATGTAGACAAGGCTGGCCTCAAACTTGCAGCGAGGTACTCCTCTTGCCCTCTGCCTCCCAAGTGCTAGGATCACAGACAGGTGCCACTATGCCAATTTAGAGCTTATTTTATTTTACTTATTTTTAAGACATGGTCTCTCTACGGAGCCTTGGCTGGCTTGAAACTCTCTATAATAGACCAGTCTGGCCTCAAACACACAGAGAGCTACCTGCCTCTACCTCCCAGGTGCTAGGATTAAAACCTGGCTAGAGGTTATTTTTTAAGAGTGCTTTGTTCGCAACAACACTAAGCAGACGACGCAGACACTTCTCATCTGTGCCCACTCTAGCCTCTGCCTTAGCAAAGCACAGCTGGCACATTTGCTACAGTCAATGAACCTGCCTTGCCATACCACTGTCACAAAGAGTGCACAGTTTTCACTAGGGTTAATTCATGGGTTCTCCTAGGGTTCCTCCATCCTATAGGTTTGAGCAGATGTATCTTTTATGACATGTATGTACCATTAGAGTACCACCAAAAGCCACTTCATTGCCCTAAAACCTGATGCTCAGCCTGGCCATCCCTCTCTACCTTTGTTCTTGTTGTGTGACACCATGCCTAGAGTCAATCCCACATGTGGTGCAGAGACTGAACATAGGAACTTACATGCTAGGTAGGCACTGTACTAACTACCCTCTACATATACACATACATATACTTATAATCAGGTTTTTCGAGACAGGGTTTCTCTGGGCAACCCTAGCTGTCCTGGAACTCACTCTGTAGACCAGGCTGGCCTCAAGCTCACAGAGATTCACTTGCCTCTGCCTCCAGAATGCTGGGATTCAAGGCATGTGCCACCACTGCCCAAATCCATACACAGTCTTTAAAATACCGAACACTCATGCCCTGGTACGGGCACCTCTTTAGTCCCAGGACACAGGAGGCAGAGGTAGGCAAACTTCTGTGAGTTTGAGGCCAGCCTGTCCTCCAAAGTGAATTCCAGGACAGCCAGGGTTGTTATACAGAGAAATCCTGTCTTGAAAAATCAAACCAAAAACAAACAACAAAACCCCCAAACACAAAAAACACAAAACCTCTTTGATTCTATCTGCTTTTATTTATTTTAAGGATTTATTTATTTTTTATGTGTATGAGTGCCTTGCGTGTATGAATGTTTGTTGTTTGTATATATGTTTGTAAGTATGTATACCATGTGTGTGCATTACTCACGGAGACCAGAAGTGGGCATCGGATCTCTTTGGAACTGGAGTTGCATACGGTTCTAAGCTGACACATGGTGGCGGGCACTGAATTTGGGTCGTCTGCAAATTAACCACTGAACTATCATTCTAGCCCCCTCAACCTGCCTTTAAACAACTGTCCCCTTGGCTTGTTTAGAAGGGTCAGCGAAGGACTATATATATCTTAGTGGTAGGGTGTTTTGTAACTTGAGCAAGAGCCAGGTTCCATTCCCAGTATGGCAACATAGACACACACGCACACACACAGTGCCCGAAATGACCCCTTCCAAAAACCCTCCTCAGCCAGAGGGTGACCCTGGGCCAGACCAGGCGAAAGAGCAACCCCCAGATATCTTGTTCACCCCCCACTCCTCGCTGCTTTGCCGGGAGTAGGGACACACTCTTAGCCACTTCCTCTCAATGCCTCACCCACTCCCAGAATGGCTCTCTCGGATAAACAGCAGGTGCTGTTTGAGAAGCTGGCTCTGTACTGCGACAGCTACATTCAGCTCATCCCTATATCCTTTGTTCTAGGTGAGCCCCCTTGGCGGCTGTTCGGGGTCCGGTGGTCTCCCCCTAGCTCCAGACACACAATGGGCGTACCTCCACCAGAGGTGGGAAGTGGGGTAAGGTGGGCCAGTGGCCTTCTAGAAATGTTAAGGCTGAGCCCACGTGTATCAGGAAGACGGAGAAACCAAGGCTTCACCCGGCTCTGGTCTCCGGCCACAGCCCCCCCCCCCCCCCCCCCGTCCCTCATCCCTCCTGCCAGGTTTCTATGTGACACTGGTGGTGAACCGCTGGTGGAACCAGTACGAGAACTTGCCGTGGCCTGACCGCATCATGTTCCATGTGTCTGGATTCGTGGAGGGCAACGACGAGCAAGGCCGGCTGGTGCGGCGCACGCTCATGCGTTACGTCATGCTGGGCCAAGTGCTCATCCTGCGCAGCGTCAGCACTGCAGTCTACAAGCGCTTTCCCAGTTTTCAGCATCTGGTGCAAGCAGGTGGGCAGTACCTGGAGTGGGCGGGGCCGCAGGGCCACCGCAGACTGGAGGCGGGGCCTGAGACGTGAAGTGGCCGGAGCTGCCGCTGGGTGGAGCCAGAGTACCCTGGACTAGAAGAGGGTGCGGTGGTGTTGGGACCAATGGGGTCAGAATGGGGACAGAACTGGGCAGGCCAGAATCAGGCGCTTGAAGTGGGGGCGAGGCCAGAATAAACCAAAAAGGTTGGGATTTAAGAAAGGGTCAAGAAACCTTCAGAGAGAAGGAAAGAAGTGGAGGCTTGGGACTGATGGAACTCAGCTCTACCTCCTTTCCTTCTGTCTGTCCTTATCTTTGTTTTCCTGCCTGGATGGCTTGACATGGGTCCTTAGCTTCCCCTTGACTTTGCCAGGGCCTGACTCAGCTAATAACAAAGCCCACTATCTTTCCACCTTCTGCCCCATGCGGTCCAGAAGAGCACCTAACTGGGGCTCAGGAATTTTGTGTGTTGAAACAAACATGGATAAAGAGCACGAAGTTCCCTAGGGCCTCAGACAGGCTGGCTGGGTTTCCTGGTGCACGGTTACCTGTTGCCTTGTCCACTCTGCCCTGCAGGCTTTTTGACTACTGCGGAACATAAGGAGTTGGTGAGGTTGAGCATACAACACAACACATTCTGGGTGCCCTGGGTATGGTTTGCCAACCTGGTAATGAAGGCCTATGTTGGAGGTCGAATCCGGGACCCTGTCATGCTCCAGAACCTGATGAACGTGAGCCCGTAGATGGGATGTAGTGGGAAGGGTTGTGGCTTCCTTTAAAGAGAAGGAGGGTCTTCTCACAGCCTGTCCTGGTAGTGTGTGATTCCACAGACCCAGGTGGCCCCCCTCCAGATCTCCTTTCTGTCTCCTCCATGAGTGAGCCTGTGAAGTCCAGGCTCCTTTTGGCCTGTTGAAGCAACTTAGACACAGAGAGGTCTACTGAGCTGCCTACTACCACACAGCCAAGGATGCTCCATGAGCACCATTGTGTTATACTCGGGGAAGAGCCACGGGAGGTTCTGGGGGCACAGGGAGTGGCCTGCACCTCACCCTCCTCTGCCACCCTCCAGGAGATGTGCACCTTGCGTACTCAGTGCGGACAGCTGTTTGCCTATGACTGGATCAGTATCCCACTGGTGTACACACAGGTAAGGCCTAGACTGTGAGGCTGTCCCGTGGGAACACCGCAGCTAGGAAGCTAGGAACTCGCACTTCCCTCAAGACTTGCACTTCCCTAGAGTGTAAGTCTCAGGCCTAGTACTCAGGTCAAAGCATCTGTGCTCCTGCCTGGTCCAGCCAGCAAACAGGTGAGGATGGAGCCGGGGTGGAGCTCACTGGGTAGTGCTTGCCACGTGTGCACAAATGCCTGGGTGGTTCTGCATTGCACAAAACTGGAGGCCAGAGGATCGGAGGTTTGTGGTCATCCTTGGCTACACAGTGAGTTTCATGCTAGTCTGGGCCACATGATACCCTAGCTGGAAAAATAAAAAGTAAACACACACACACACACACACACACACACACACACCAAACAAAGAAACAAAATTAAAAAGGGGAAATGGAGACCCAGTCACCTGACTGTGGAGGTCAAAGCAAGGTTTTAAAGTGAAAGCCTGAGGACTTCCAATTCCATGGTCCCTGCTCAGCCCTTGCTGCCTGTGCCTCTTCTCCTTGCAGGTGGTCACAGTGGCAGTGTACAGCTTTTTCCTTGCATGCTTGGTGGGGCAGCAGTTTCTGAACCCAGCCAAGAACTACCCAGGCCATGAGATGGGCCTCGTGGTGCCTTTCTTCACAATCCTGCAGTTCATATTCTACATGGGCTGGCTGAAGGTGAGCCTGGATACCACTCTCTCCTACGCTGGATGCATAGCCAGAGGGGTCTTGCCCAGTAGTCACCTGGGAGGAAGACAGGCAGCTAGCTGGAAAGAACTCTGGTTATATGCACACAGAAACTGTTCTGTCCAACACACACACACATACACACACAAACACAGAGAGAGAGAGAGAGAGAGAGAAAGAGAGAAAGACTGACTCTAGTCTCAATATAATTTCTCCCAGTTATCTTTGCTTGACTAGATTATATTACTTTTATGCTTGAAATGATCTGAGGTGTCTCACTAGCTATTAGGGTGTCCCCCAGACCCACAAAACAGTTACCACTTCAATGGTGCTTTGCTTGGGTATTTTAAATATTAGTGGCCAGGAAGCACCCTTTCCGGCTACTCTTAATTTAATCCAGCAAAACCTCAGCATTTATCGCTAACATCATAAAACAACAAATACATGCATATTAGAAGATAAATAAATGAACAGAAAACCCTCAAGTTTGAGATGAGTAACATGGGTGAGATCAAGGTGACTTGGCTGAGTAACATAGGGACAGCTGTGGTCTTCAGGGACAGGCTGGCTCATAAGGAGGAGAGGGAGGGACAGAGGGTAGAGACCTAATATGTGCCTGGGGCCCAAGACTGTGGCCTTGAAGATAGTTGTTAGGCAGGAAGGCCATCATGAAGGCAAGGCTTAGGGATGGCAAGCAGAGTATCAAGGTTCTCAGAGCCTCACCTCTTTCTCCATCCCCTAGGTGGCCGAGCAGCTCATCAACCCCTTCGGAGAGGATGATGATGATTATGAGGCTAACTGGCTCATTGATAGAAACCTGCAGGTATGAGAGGAGAGAGAGGAGGAGACTGTCAAAGTGAGGTCCAGAGAGAGAGGAGTCAGCAGTTTTTCAGGGACACCCCACAGTAAACTGTCCTCTCCTCTAACATCAGCCCTTTTCTCAGCCATTCATTCACCCACGAGATTCTCACCTCAATTTTGGAGGCTGCAGGTAAACATCAGTCTCATTATTGCCACACACAGGGAAACAGGTCGAGAGAGCTTGAGTTGATGCTTCCTAAGGCATCAGGCAAGCTCATGGCCCTGCCTGCTCTGCCCACTCTATTTGATAGCACCTCTGTCCTTGGCACCCAGGTCTCCCTGTTGTCTGTGGATGAGATGCACCAGGATTTGCCTCCCTTGGAGCGTGACATATACTGGAATGAAACAGATCCTCAGCCGCCCTACACAGTTGCCTCTGCCCAGTCTCGTCGGGCTTCCTTCATGGGCTCTACCTTCAAAATCAAGTGTGTAGTACCAGGGAACTGGGTGGGATACCCCAAAAGAATAAGGCTTTCCTGGCAACTTGGAACAGTTCTTGTCACTATACTGGATGCCCAGTAAGGGCTAGCCAGTGGGCTAAGCTCCTCTCAGTAACCTCTGTTTGTTATCTCTACTTTTCAGGCAACTAAGTACAGGTTCAAAGAGGTTACTAAAGTTGCCCAGTCCAATGTCACATAAGTGACCAAGAACAGACACATCTGAGATAGCTGTCTGGTTCCAGCTCCATACTCTTTTTATTTATTTTGGACTGGTTTTTCTTGGGAGAGACTCTCACACAGTCCAGGCTGGCTTCAAACTCACTGTGTTGCTGGGGGATTACAGACAGGCACCATTATCTTGGTTTTCAGTGTTTTGTTTGAGACAAGTATGCTACTATATAGTCCAAGCTGTCTTGGAATCTCTGACTACCCCAGGCTAGCCTTGAATTCACAATCCTTTTGCCTTAGCCTCTCCAGTACTAGGACTACAGGCAGGAATTATCACTCCATTCTGTACCTTTAAAGACAGAATCTCTCTACACAGCCCTGGCTGTCCCGGAGCTCACTACGTAGACCGCACCAGCCCTGAACTCAGAGATCTTCCTGCCTCTGCCTCCTGAAATGCTGGGATTAAAGACGTGCTGTGCTCCACCACATCCTGCCACCTCCATACTTTTAACTCTCCACTATGCTGTGTTAACCCCTCCAGGCCAGTCTCTCATTCCTTGTATACAGTTGGAATGTATACAGCAAGAAATAGGACTTTTCCAGGGGCAGCCGGTAATTGATAATGCAGTGAGATGCCAAGACTGGCTTCCTAACTCTGATCAGAAGAACTAGCTTTTGTGTGAACGTGGAAGTGGGGGAAGCCTGGGGTAGACGAGGGACAATAAGGCAGTCCCAGTAGGAGATAGGGCCTCCTGAATAGACTGTCCTACAGAGAAAAGGCTTCCATCCACCCACAGCAGCCACGCTCTCCCTTGTACAATCCCATTTCATCTGAATTCCTCCTAGATACAGTGGGCCAAATGGGCCTTTCCACACAGTCCTCTGCATGACTGAGCTGAGCGAGCCCAGGGTTATCTGACATAGTTGCTGTTCTCTCTCTGCTCTTTCATGACTCAAAGTATCCATTACACTGAAACTAGAATTAACTAGGAACATTTTGGAAGATGTTTTTTAACTTGTTTCATCTAAACCCCAGCACTGAACCTGCGGTGGGGTGGTGGAGGGTAAGGTAATACACAGGCCCTACCTCCAGGGAAGGTGCAAGCTAGCAAACTGAGCAAGCTCTAACCCACACCAAAGCCTGGGCAGGACCCAGAACAGAGGTTGCCTTTGGCTAAGAGGTGACCTCTTCCTGGGTCTGCAAGTAGGTCTTAGAGCCAGGCAGACCTTGGATGTAGGCAAGGGCCCCATCCTGGGCTAAGTAAACTTTTTTCTTACAGATTAAAGGTCCTCCTGGGGCCTCAGGAAGTCTGCTGCCAGGAAGCCAAAGGTCTTTTGGTGGATGTTGCTCCTCCACTGGAAAACATAAATTCTTTATTTTGCCTAGATCCTGCTGGGCCTTATCTGAGCTTTACTGGGAGCAGAAGTTCCCATTGCTGGAGGGAGATGGTCTAACAGGAGGGTGCCTGATAAAGAGGAGCCTGTGGGATTCAGGAATTACTGTTGGTTATGGTAGAGAAGCCCGAGTTTGATCTCCAGAACACATGAAACATGACAGACACGCATGTAATCCCAGTGCCAAGGAAGAGACAGGGAGATGCCTGGAGATGGCTGGCCAGATGGTCTAGCCTAATTGGTGAGCTTCAGGCCAATGGGAGACCCTGTCCCAACAAAGGTAGATAGCTTTCTGAGGATGCAGAGTCCTCTGGCCTTCACATAGGCATACACAGGTACTCCACTCACATATGAGCGCACACACACCCACCCTAACTCTGTAATGCTAGACCGGGGAGTTGGATGTTACCAGTGAGCAAGAGAGAGCCTACGGAGAACTGGGCCTCAAGGGACTCCGTGGGAAGTACAGGATCAGCTCCATCAGGAGAGGTGAAAGTCATGCAGCCTTGGTCTTAGACAGGCACTTGCTTCCATCTTTTGTCTACCCACTCAGTCCTGTGCATCCCTTCTCCTTCCAGCATGCAGAAAGAAGACATGGAGTTACAGTCTGAGGATGACGACGACGACCAGGAGAACAATCACGGCAGCATCATTGGACGCTTCTTGGGGTTGCAGTCCAATGACCACAATCCTCCCAGGACAAACTCAAAGACCAAACTATTGTCCTTCAAGAAGGAACACTACCCCCAGGGCCAGCCTACGGACAGACAGAACGCTAGGGACCAGGAAGATAATGACTGGAAAATTAAGAGTCTGGACACCTTCAGGGCTCCTCCGCTGTTTGAGAGGCCAGACTACCACAGTGCCCCACAGACACCCCTCGGCCAAACTCCCATGGTCTCCCCTCCTGAGTGGTCAGCACTCTCCAAGCCTTACTTAGTCACAGGTATAGACACTAAAGACAAAAGCCTAACACCCATTACTTCTGAGACCAAGAACACTTTGTTTTAAAGGTTTATTTTTATGTATGTTTATGTCTTTGTGCATGTATGCCACGTGCTGGTACCCTCAGAGGCCAGAAGAGGGTGTCAGAACCCCTGGAATTACAGGCACTTGTGAGCTGCCTGATGCAGGTGCTGGGACTCAAACTCGGGTCCTCTGGAAGAGCAGGAAGTGCTCTTGACTGCTGGGCCAGCTCTCCAGCCCCACCAAAAACAATGTTGAACTGCTCCTAGGTGATGAGGCTTCCACAAAGTACCAAAAAGTTGGTGACATGAAGAAGAAAACTGTGGAGTTTAACTTGAACATTCCAGAGAGCCCCGCCGCTCAACCTAGACAAGCCCATTTGGACGAGCTGCCAACCAACAGACAAACTGTAATGGAGCACATAAAGCACTCTCCCAGCTTGGAAAACAGGTCTGTAGACACAGACCACGGCCTGCATTCACATGTCTATGGTTCCAGTTGAGTCTACCCATACCCCACAATTTCCCAAGATTCCATTATTGCTGACATTTGGGCTAAACGTATATCCCTACACTAGCTGGTGATTAGAAACCACCTTGGCAAGAACTGTTTGATAAGGAGGCCTTTTACTTACCTAAGACCTTGGAAGGTGAAATTGTGTTGACAGAATGCTGAAGGTAAGGCCGTATTGGTGAAGCAGGGAGTGGGCCAGGCTGTTTACCTTGGTAGGGGACGGATGACTGGCAGAGCCTTGAGAAGAACCAAAACTCTAGCCAGGCTGTAGCCCCAAGGGGCAGTCTCTCTACTCTTGCAGCCTCAGGCGTTGGTCATGGTCTCCTTGGGATACCTTCTCAGGGCTTTAGGGCCTCACTTAATACTTCCCCAAAAAAGCCTAAAAGCTGTCACACATCTACCATGTTATCTTTTAAATTTCTTGGACACTTCTGCCCAGTTAGAAACATACCACCCCCACTTTGATCCCAACATGGGCAGTCCTAACTTCCCACTTCCACATTCTTAGTTTCATCTGTAACCAGAACACCCACTTTTTCAAAAATGGAAACCAGAGGGCAACAATTTCATTCTCGCTGCTAGTGTTAGACCATCTTTTATAGATCACTAGGTGTGTTTAAGACCAGCTTCAACCATTGTCCTCAGAAACGTGTTTTAAGACAGGGTTTCTGTGTGTAGCCTTGGCTGTCCCGGACTTATACTGTAGACCAGGCTGGTCTCAAAAATCACAGCAATCCTGCCTCTGCCTTCCCGAGTGCTGGGATTACAGGCATGGGCCACCAACACCCAGCTTCTTTTATGTAGGTTCTAGGGGTCAAACTGAGGCCCTCAAGGTTATACAGCAAGCCCCTTTCCTCACTTAACACACCATGCCCGGCACTAGGTAAATCTGAAACTTATACTGTGAACTCTCTGAAATCTTCCACAGCGATGAAGCTGGCACCTAACGTGTCTCTCATAAATGATGCTTCACAGCCTGGTCCTCATCTGCATGGGTGCAGCAGGAGACTGACCCAGTCAGAGGCACACAGCAGTTGAAACCCAAGAGTGTGTTCCCATGATATTCTGGCAAGTAATTCAGAACCAGGGATGCCTCTTCCTGTCTGAACACACCTGTATCTTACTATCTTTCCCAAACTAAGAAGTTTAATAAATGTAAGTATTCTTTTTAGGTGTTTCAGTGTGATTAGTGTAACCGACGATGCAAAGCTGGAAGCTGGCACACTTATCCTCAATCTCAAGACAAAAGCTGGGTACCAAAATTCTTTATTTGAAGAAATGGTACAAACTAAAGAACTTAAGCAGATGTTTTGGTGCGACTTATAGAAAAGATATAGGCAGACATGCATACACTGCCTCAGTGACCAGTGAGGTCACATGGCTTTGGGGAAATCAGCTTAGCTCTCACTGTGTCCCAGGGTGTGCTTGTCAAAGAGATACTCTGCCATGCCAGATTCAGGAGCGCCCATCTTGCGCAAGTTGGTCACGTGGTCACCCAGTTCTTTGATGGATTTCACCTGCTCATTCAGGTAATGTGTCTCAATGAAGTCACATAACTAGAAAAGAGAACATGGGAGAAAACTTTTGGTCAGCTCTCCCAAGTCCTCTGGCAAATGATTTCCTCCATTCAGCCCCTGACTCCAATACTCACATGGGGGTCATTTTTGTCAGTAGCCAGTTTGTGAAGTTCCAGTAGTGATTGATTCACACTCTTTTCCAAGTGCAGTGCACACTCCATTGCGTTCAGCCCATTCTCCCAGTCATCACGGTCTGGTTTCTGAATGAAACATTAGTCAATTTCATCTGTAGTCTCTACCAATAAACCCAAGTCAGTAAACACCTCACACGTCTAACCACCATGCTCTGGCAATAGGACTGCCTTAAATTTCCTCTGACAACAGCTTTCACCACAACATGTTTGCTCACTGCTGTTTGCCAACTCAGGTGTCAGTATAGGCTTAAAAAGGCACAAGGGCAGAAGCACAGCGCACCATCACTTTCTGAGCAAGGGTTAGGTGCTCATTTAAGGTACCCACAGATCCTCTACTCACCTTGATATCCTGCAGGAAGATCCGGCCACCTCGTTCGTTCTGCAGCTTCATCAGTTTCTCGGCGTGTTCCCTCTCTTCATGAGATTGGTGGAGAAAGTATTTGGCAAAGTTCTTCAGAGCCACATCGTCCCGGTCGAAGTAGCAAGACTGCAAGTGGAAAGGGGACATGTTATGTATCCCCACAGTAAAGCGGCTATAGGTGGTAAAATGGCTATAGGTAGTAAAGGCCGTTTGCTATCCCACTCAGCCTTTTTAAAGTGCTTTAGGACTTGGCTTCACCAAGTGCCCTGTGGCTCTGTATTACTGCACAGGGAAAATTTTTTAGCTAAGGCCTAATCTATTTTTCTGAGGGGGAGGTGCTAGAGTACCTTGTATTTGGAGGCCATTTTTCTTCACCTCCTTCACCAATTATGTAAAACAAAACAAAACAACAACAACAACAACAAAAAAAAAAACAGCCAACACAAGCTTACAAGATTCCCATCTGGACAGCCAACAGCTGATTTATAAAATTAAAGCATCATGTCTGGTGACAATTGAGGGCATTATATTTTAGCACAAATATATTAGGAGAAGCTTTGAGTTTCAGTTTTAGGCACGCAGTGTATTTGAACCTTCCAGAAAGAATGATGGCCACGGAAGCCCAGGCTTGTTTCAAATCCGTTTGGAACACTTATTTTAATAACTTGCACATTCACAGGGCAATTCAAAGGGTGATTCCCGCTACACTGCCCCAAACCTGTTTTTCAGACAGATATACGGAAAACTTCCTTGTCCAGCAACTGAAGGTGAAGCTGTATCCAACAACTACCTCCCACTTCTGTTAGTATGCCACAACTCTCAGATACAGAAGGTTGATACAGTACTGTGGATGCCTTTTAGGGGCAAGGTTTAGTGACACTGATGACTGCTCGAGGAGAGATTCCTAGAGATAATGTTTCAATACAAGTGAGGCTCTGTGATAATAGAAGAGGTGGAGACCGGTGGAGACCGCTGCTTAAAGAGGTTAGGGTAAGCTCACAAGAGATAAGCCTCTTTGCACCAGGCTCCAAAGCTGCCACTTGACACCGTGACAAAGCAGACACGACATACTCAGAAGAACTGGAGCTGGATGCATACCGAAGCAGAGGAGCCTGCAGGCCACGTGATCGGAGGGAACGAAGAGTGAAAAAAATAAAGCACCTAACTGCAGGGTTGACTGCACAAGAGAAGAGGACAGTCGTGCAACACTAAGACCTCAAGGAACAGGGGTGTGATGACGCGCCTGGTCTATGCAGGAGACACAAGGGGATAACTGCTCAGAATTGCCACTCCAAGGCTGCCCTAGGAGAGCTCCGAACAAACTCCATTTTCCAGAAAGACGCTGGGTGGCGGGGAAGCCCGTAGCAGGCCACGCCCCAACCCGCGCCCCGCCTGCTCCCCCAGTGGCCCCAGGGAGGCCGCGCCGGGCTCCGGCACAAGCCAGGCCGCACTCACCATAGACAGATAGACATAGGAGGCATACAACTCCAGATTGATCTGGCGGTTGATGGCAGCCTCCGAGTCCTGGTGGTAGTTCTGGCGCACTTGCGAGGGAGACGCGGTGGTCATGGCGGCGGCGGCGGGGCGACGCTGGAGCGGCGGAGCGACGAGGTTGCAAAGGGCTCAGGCTCGGAGCGGCCGGCTGCGGTCGGAGGGGTCGAGCACCGGGTTCCGTTCAAGCACTGTTGAAGCAGGAAACCGCGGCGACTCTGGGCGAGAACGTCTGGGGCAGGTGGCCAGCGGGCCGCACTTATAGCGGGAGCCTGCGTCAGGCGCGCCCTGGCCAATCAGCGCCGTGGGCCGCCCAGACCCGCCTCTTCCGGTGAGCGGGTTACCCAGACCCGAAGGCGCGGGCGGGTGGAGCCTGTGTGAGACTACGCCAGAGATTCTGAGACTCAGCAAGAGCAGTCCCTGGCAACGAGCGAGCTGGCTGTTTCTCTGCCCCGGGGCGGCCGTAGTTGAATCCAGTCCAACTATAGTGGCTGTGACCCAGAGGGACAGAGGGTGCCGATGAGAATGATTTTCAAGTCCCACAGGACATCCCTAAGCTCTAGGCTAAGTGCTTGTTGTTAAATCGTGACATACGCTAGGCAGTGACTTAGGAAAATGGAAAATGGCAGCGTGGCGCTGTAGATGGCGAACGAGATATAAATTGGACTGGGAAAAGAGCGGCTTTCTCTCCTTCAGAGTCTATGGAGAAAAGAGTAAAGGAGGAGTAGGGAAGACTATTGGGGAGGAGGAAGTTAGGGTTGGCCCAGTCCTTCTGATTCAAGCAACCCTGGCCTTTTGCGGGAAACAAACATGGCTGTGTGCACAATTGAAAAAACAAAGGCTGAGAGGGCGTGTTTCTCCCGAGAGCAGGATAGCATTCTATGGGGGAGTCCTAGAGCCGAACCATCTCGGTTTCTGAGAAAGTCCCTGGTAATGCTTGAAATTAAGAGGTCTGTGGGTTAGAAAAGAAAGGAGAAACGACCTACATGTATCTGTTTCAAATTGGTCTCAGTGTTCCTAGTAACCTTGGGTTTGTCCTTGAAGAAAAGCTGATGGGGCTGAATGGCAGGTGATGGTGCAGGGAACCTTGGAGGGACAGGCCAACTGTGTGTGTCTTGAGGCGGTGGCCCAGCTTCAAAATGGGTGTGGATTCTCGGGTAGCAGAAGCAGAGGTTAGCCACTGCGTCTAGCAAGGCCCTTCCATTCACGTATGCTACTCCCAGAGTCTAGTCTTTTGACGCAGGCAGGAGACCCAGCAGAAGTGTTTCCAGATAGTCAAAACTGTAAGCTGGACTTTCAAACATTTTGTTGTTACTGATTTAAGACAAGGTTGATGAGGGTTACTGTATAGCCCAAACTCACCTGGGACTCATGACATAGTCCAGGCTGGTTCATGATTCTCCTGCCACAGTTTTCAGAGAGCTGGGATTACAACCCCCTCTCTCCCCGTTTACAGTTAAGACTAAGACTGGCACGGTGTTGCACACCTGTAATCCCTGCACTCAGGCAGAGGCAGGCAGATCTCTGTGAGTTTGAGGCCAGACTGGTCAACAAAATGAATCCTCAACAGCTAAAGCTACACAGAGAAACTGTCTTGAAGAAAAACAAGTAATAATAATAATAAAGTAAGTCCACTGAATTACTACATTACTAGTGATATTTATTCTTTTAAAAACAAATATGTATGTTCCTTTTGGAAAAGATTTCAGTAGTACACTAGCTGCAGTATGCTGCTAGATGAATATCCTAGAGTCAGACTTCGGGAAGATAACCCTAAGAGAGCGGTACTGAACAAAATTTGATGATCTTATTACTTGATACTTTGAGTAGATACTACTGGTATAAGTGAAAATACTTGCTCACCATACTCCATGCAGGTCCCCCATCTGGCTACATTTTCTGATGGTGGAGTGGAGGAGGGAAGCAGGGAAAGGAATTTTAAGTAGAGGGAACAGCATATGCACAGGTGTGGAAATGCTTGGCCTGTTCAAGGACCCTTAAGGAAAGTGTGTTTATTGGCCTGGAAAACAAAGTACATGTTGGGAGTGCTGGAAAGAATATGGTCATATGGGTGTGCCATAAAAAGTCATTAAACTTTATCCTGCAGGCAATATGGAGATACCATATACATTTGTTTTTAGGAACATTACCCTAAGTCAATAGGAAAACTGGTAGGAGTCCAGCCAAGTCATCACATGTAGGATGCAAAGCTTTTCTAACAGTAGCCACCATCAGCAAATGTGATAAAAGAGCAGCAAGAGTCGGGGGAGGGGCGATAAGCAAATATTTTCACTTACATCAGCAGCTTATATTCGGAGTACAAGTAATAAGGTTAGCAATCAATGTATGACGAGAGCATGTGACAAAACAAAGCAGTTATTGTGACAGGGAGGTGCCATCTTCCTGAAAGGTCACCCTCCACATTACAGTGTTAGCTCTAAACCTGTAATTCAGCACAGTCTGAGATGTGAAACTACAGAGTTTCTTTGGCAGGGCATGATTCTGAAGCTCATATGGAGTTAGTGGGCTAGCTTGTAAACATTTGAGGAAAGCAAAGGCTATGAGGGAAAGTTTGCTTGCGATACCTATCATTTGTATATATTATAATAACGTATGGTTATGGTACTGGAACAGGAAGATGAGCTCAACATCAGAATATTCCCACCCACATAGTATGGGGACTTGATATAAGTTAAACCCATGCATTACAAATTAGGGAAGGAAGAATGGGTTTAACCAATCATGTTGACACAATTGCCATGTGGATAAAAATGAATCATTCTGTATTTAAAAATAACTCCCAGATGAATTAAAAATACAATCCTTAAAGTTGAAATCTATAAAGTTTTAAGAAGACTATAAAGAAGATTATCCAAATTTGGTGTAGGGAATATTCTTTTAAGTTTGTCAAGAAGTTGGCAGGTTTGACTGCTTAAAACTGCTTTTAAAAAAGAGTTTATATGAAAGATATTTTAAACAAGGTTAACATAGAAACAGTGTGTTGGGCTGGTGATATTTGTTGCCCATAGATAGGATGATGATCAAGAGCCAGGAAGTCTATGTACAATTGTATGTTATATGCTTTTTTTCAGCCTTGGGGATAAAACCTGGGGTCTGGGCATTCTAAGCAGGCTCTCTACACTGGGGTACTCCTGTGAGTTTTCTTCTTATTTAAAGATAGGATTTCATTAGGGTGCCTAGACTAATCTCAAAAGCCTATGCTCAAATGATCCTAATTCAGGCTCTCTAGTGTTCAAACTCCATTGTATCACTGCTCTAGATGTGTGCTCCAGCCACTCTGTTTTTATAGGGACTATTTGGCTCACTTCTCTGCTACTGCAGGTTGAAAGCTCCAGGTAGGGAGGCATTCCTAGCAAGCCCTGTTTTCTGCAAAGTGCCTAGTAATTTGTTGCTTGAAGAAATGAATGTTTTATGTGGAGTTTAGATTCCAGTCAAACAAGAGGGCTGGGTACCAGTTAGGAGACAGCTGCCATGGTTTTTAATGAGCATAGGAGGGGAGGCAGAAAGCAGAAAAGGAAAAGAGATATGGGGAAGAAAAGGATAGATGGGATGAAGTGAATGGTTAGATACCATGTGGGTTGGGGGGGGGAGTGAGTACCATGGCCCCCCAGTTTTCAGGACTGGGCAGCTGGATTGCTGCTCCCCTCCTCGGTGCCCAAGAACACAGAGGAAACACAAGTTTAAGGGAAGGCTGTTGGGAAAGGCCAGCTTGGTTTGGGACTGGATCTGCTGGATCTCTAAGCCTGCCAGGTGAACAGAAAGAGTGTAGTTAGACTCTCTCAAAGGAAGTTGAGCTGTCACATTAAGTAAGCTTTGTGAATCAGTATTAGCTCTCTGCCTTTCAAATACATCCCCGGCTGTAGTAAACAGCATTGCAAACCAGGGACAGTGTATACCGGGGAAGGTCACTGAGGAAGGAGGGTTTGAAGGGAAATGGAAACTGTGGGTGCCAGAACCGCCACCTCCAAGCCTCCGGGTTCTTCTGAAGATATGGCCAGGTCTTTGGATCTTTGTGGACCATACTTCTGCCTGCCCAACCCCCATGTTGCCTCCACTCCTCGTGACTTTGAAGAGGGATTTTGGCTGGCTGCCCAGAACAAGTTGAACAGCAGCCTTCCAGGGCCAGGAGCCACAGAGCAAACGCAGGCCAGCAGAGAGGAAGGCCCTTCTGTTCTGTAGAATACTAGCTTATTCCAGAGGAGGAGGTGGGGTGGAGAAGCCTTGTGGTAGAGGGCTGCTATTCACCGTGACTCAGCACTCTGCTCCTCTGGAGGGGTTGGACTCCAAAAGTGCTTTGTCATGGAGGGGCAGGGCAGTCTGGAAGGCCTGGAGGGCTGCGGTTTTGCTCTGGAGAGAGGGAGGAAAGGGAGGGGGAAAGAGCAAGCCGGAGAGTGTGACAGAGCTCCCCCACTGCCTCATGGGATGCAGAAACTGGACAGGGAATAAAGAGGTCTTGATCACCCTGCCAGGCTTTGGGTGGTATTTTTGCCAGAGAGACAAATGCCTTTCTGTCTCTTGTGGGGAACATCTCAGTAGATATTGGGTCTCTTTCCCTTCTAGTGATTGTCCCTCTGCTGTTACAATTGCCAGATATGCCACATCCAAGCATTCTTAACCATTTAGTACATTAGGGGCCAAGGGACACTAGGGCTTACATTGTACTTTGTAGGGCAGAAGGTGATATCCAAAGGCGAGGTTTGCTCAGGGAAATAGTCACTGGCTGAAAATGTGGAGCAGAGTATGCAATGGAACGCTAGACAATCATTAAATACATGATAAGTGCCAGAATGGGCATGTGGGATAAAGTCTAGTAAGAAAGTGGAGTTCAAAATAGTTCCTGCATGCCAGTTGCAGGGAAGGAACACCACAGGGCTGGAAACAAATAAAGGCTGCATGAAAATGGGCTACCGACTCTCAAGACTAAACAACCAAAAATTGCGAGAGTATGGGATTCCCCAAAAAGCGCGCAGGAAATTCTGCTGTTTGCAAAATCACCACTCAGCCAGATTCTGGTATATTCTAGATGAAGCAACTGTCGTTCAGAGAACATGTCTTTAAATCATTTCTTGAAAACTCATAAAGCCATGTAGACTTAAAAAGTCTAGATACCCACAATCCCTGTCTTCTAGAATGTTAAAGGCTTGAGACTCACAGCTTGGAATGTCAGAGAACAACTATGAATGGAAGCCCTGCCTCCCCTTTGGGGGGGGGGGTAAAGTAATTC